TTTTTCAGAGCATTTCCTAATTTATTTAATCACTTATTTCTTGTTGCATATTTAGATTGTTACTAGAGAGGGAAAAGGAAAATACAAAGGAAATAGTTTTCCAAGCAATTTAGAAAGCCCATGAACCAACAGGAAGGGAGCAGAAGGAGATGGGTGGGTGTCTGGTGGCCACTTGTTTTCCCCCTATCTTTGCATGATCTAGTACCATATCTTGAACAGTCAAGTGCTCAGGGAAAATTAAAGATGAAGAGGGTTCAAGGTGGGTCTTTGATGAGCTTTGCTGCGTAATCTTTTTTTTTGTACTGAGGATTGAMCCCAGGGGCCCTTAACTACTTGGCCACATCCCCAACCCTTTTTTTTTTTTCCATTGAGACAGGGTCTCACTGAGTTGCTTAAGGTCTCACTAAATTGATGAGGCTGGCTTCGAACTTGTGATCCTCCTGTCTCAGTCTCCCGAGCTGCTAGGATTACGGGCACATGCCACCATGCCCAGCTGCTGCTATATCTTTCATGAGAAATGACAGCTTTTAAATACCATCCATAAATCAAATGCTTTCATTTTAAAGTCTCATCATATTCAATAACTGATTTCAAATCATAAACAGCTAGCATGGCATGAGAGTGAGAAGGACACAGGTGGAAAGCAGGGTGGTTTTAGGAGAGTCCTGTCGCCTGGCAGTGATGGCAGAAGACACAGACTACCTGCCCAGGATGTTCCTGGGTTYGAGGGCTCCTTAGTGCTGCTGTCCCATTTTCGTTAAGAAATTTCCTCTCATGGGATATGGAATTACAGTGTCTGGGCTGATGGAGTTTAACAAGCTTCTGCTGCTGTTTGTTGTTAAGATTAAGGAAGGATGTTATATAAAATAATTTGGTCAAGAGTGCAAAACCAACCCCGTCTCAATAGCTAAAGTTGGGACATAGGCAACTGTTTTGTAAAGAATTCCCCAGGTCATTCCGATAATCAGGTGGGCTTGGGAGCCACACTGAGCTAATCCATCTCCCTATGGCTTGCAGGCTACCTCCTGCTATATTGGGCAAATTGTGCTCTTTTTTCCCTCCTCATTCTGGGGATTGAATCCAAGGCCTTGGGCATAGTAGGAAAGTGTACTACCATTGAGCTAAACCTCAAGGCTCTTTTATTTTATTTTAAGACAGSGTCTCATTAAGTTACCCAGATTGGCCTTGGACTTGTGATCCTCTGGCCTCAGCCTCCTGAACAACTGGGGTTATAGGTGTGTGCTATCACRCCTGGCCTAGAATTCAGATTCTTTACACATCAGGCCATTGACTCCCCAGTCTTTTCTGCTTAGAGCTAACCAGCTAATGTTTTGAAATCAGTTATTGATCTGATAAATTTTAAAAAGAAAGAATTAATTAAATACAGATTGTATTTAAAAGCTGTTACTGCTCATGAAAGATTAAACAGCAAAGCTCTTCAACATTCTGAGCAGAAAAAAAAACATTGTCAGTTACCCCTCTTGTATTCTATACTAACAAAAGAAAACATTAAAAAGCCAGTTGTTGTATACTTTTAAAACTTCAAAATTGCAATCAACGTTTATCAGAGAGTTGGACAAGTAAGAATGACTGAAGAGTTTCCTGTTTTGAAAATTTTCAGATAATGCCTGTGTTTGAGGCTGTGCTGTGCTCAGTTAATAGCAGTGGCTGCTGGCACAGGAAAAGGTATAATTCTTCCTCAGATTGTAAGAGTTGCAGCTCACGCAGAGAATCCTCTGTGATGGAGGCCAGTCAGCTTTTATGGACTTCAATGCTATTTGCTTCAGTACACTTTGAAATGCAGGGTCAGCTCACTGAGCTACATCATGCAATAATAACACATTTTTATAGGAGTAGCTTGTCAGAGCAGCAACAACACACAATACATAAAACCAATAAACACACTATGTCTACAGATTCTATCCTAGTAACCAGATAAAGCAATAAAATTGACAGCAGCCATCAAAAAGCTCCCTTTCTGACTTTTTGGAGGTGAATTTACTGTTGCTTGAAACATAGGAACTGTCACAAAGCCTTAGATCAGTGTGCAGTTATGGGGCAGCTAGTTGTATCATATGGGAGGGAGCATGGTGATCAATGAAAGCAGGATGAACAATTATGCCTTTCTAACATCTGAGACTTTGCTATCTTTAATGTAATGCAACCTGCATCAGAGTTTTTTCTACAGAATAGTTTTGTTTTTTTTTTTTCAAGTTACCCATTCAATATTATAGCAAAGAGTATGGCTAAGGGGTGGTAGGTCAACAATTAATATTTCCCATCTGCAGCTTAAAACCCTAGGGCAGGAAGGAGATCACATTGACAGAATACCTAGGAAACTAATGGGTTGGTGTTGTCTAAGACCAAATTCTTAGAATAGGGATCTTCCGTGGGAAAAAATGCATTTGAAGTCAAATATCACAAGATGAGAGAAGTAAGAGGGATACATGTATCATTAAGAATAAAAATGGATTTTACTGGAGTCAGTCATTTGGCTGGGAAACCAGGGCTAATCTTAGTCTGACAGAATCTCCACATCTGGAGGCAAGGCACAAGAATCCACTTCTTATCCTAGGTTGCCCTAGGTTATTCTGGTGAGAAATATGTGGGAGGCATAGGAAATATTGGAGATGTCAACTGAAGCTCAAGGTTGGTATGTCTGGGCATGGAGATGGAAGTAGGTGCTGATAAGGGTTTGGGAGTCAGAAGGCCAGCAAATGTCAGCAATTACTGAAAATATATTGAGTCCTTATTTTGTCCCAGGTGCTTGTAGGACACCATTGGGTAAAGACCCTCATGTGCAGCTTACATTCGGGGGGTAAAAAAAGACAAGATAGACAAATTAAAACAGATGAGGATAATAATCCTATAGCTGATTAACAATAAAGATGATGGAGCTGTTAGAGAGAGCATTGGGTGTGGCCTAATTTGGTTTGGACTGGCCAGGTCAAGGAAGAACTCCCTCAGAGGAGCGGATAACAGCACGGAGATCTCAGGGAACCACTCATGGGGAGATGCTCTCAGCATCTTCCAGGCAAAAAAGGAACAAGCGAGAAAGCCTGTAATTCCTGAGCCCCCAAGAGGTTCTTCCATTGCTGTTCCCTTCCTGTCCAGCTTTTCCAGGGAATGAAGAAGAGGCAAAGAGGATGAATTCCCACATTCCATGATCATGTCCCACTATTATGCCTTTAGTCTAAGGGCAAAAAAATTTCRGATTGGATATTAAAATTGATCAACTTTTACTTTGATATCCAAGCAGAATTTCAGAATGATACTCTCTTTGACCTAAAAATTGATAGTAGAACTTAATCGAGCCCTTATGCAGTCACTCTTTGGTTTCTATAGAGGATTGGTTCCAGGACCTCTCACAGATTCCAGAATCCCCAGATGCTTGAGTTCCTTATATAAAATGGCACAATATTTTCAGATAACCTACACGCATCTTCCCATACACTTTAAATCATCTCTAGATTACTTATAAACATCCCAAACAATATTAGTACTAGGTAAACAATTGTTGTGCTATATTGCTTAGGGAACAAGGACATGAAAATTTTCTGTGCATATTCTATACACTTGGAGGTTTTTTTTTTTTCAAATATTGTCCATCTGCAGTTGCTTGAATCCATGGATGTGGAGGAGGAGGAAGCAGGCTATAAAAGCAGCAGCTGAGTACAAGAGCTCCCAGCAAGCTCGTCCAATAATCCAGCCTCAGAAGGGCAAGGCCCAGTTGAATGGGACTCAGTGGGCCTGGGGAAGGTCTCAGTGTTGACACTGCCACCTTCTTCATCCTCTTTGTCTATTTGTACTCAATGACTTTGTCCAGTGTCTATTGTTGGCACGACYTTCACTGACACCCTCAGCCTCAACAGAAACGGTCACGAAGCCAGCTTTACTGTGTTCCTAACTAGTTTTCATGTAAGCATGCTCTCTGAGATAAATAGATGTTTGAGGACCAGTCTGGGAACCAGTCACCATTTATCTCATCATTCCATGGGAAAGAGGCTTCTGAGGACTAGACACCTAGACAAGAAGAGCATTTTGGACCGTAGCCCATTACTAAGTGAGATCTACCACATAAAAGCCAGAACACCAGACAGGCAGTGAAGGTGAAGGATGGAGGTGAATAAAATCCTAGACCTCAGGGATTAAGGGGTAAAGGAATGTTTCTTGTTTGTTTATTTGTTTGTTTTGTTTGGTGTGTTTTTTTTTTGTAGTTATTTTCATTCCAGAGGCATTATCAAGACCTAGAAACCTAAGGACTTAGTAGATTAATGGAGTCTATTTGAAAGYACAATTCATTTTTCAGTCTTTTAAATTCTTTTTTTGTTTTATTTTGTTTCATTTTTTGATACAAGAGATTGAACCCTGGGGCACTTAACCACTGAACATCCTCAGCCCTTTTTGTTTCTTATTTTGAGACAGGGTCTTGCTTAGTTGCTGAGGCTGGACTCAAACTTACCATCCTCCTGTCTCAGCCTCCCAGGCCACTGGGATTACATGTGTACATTACCATGCCCAGGATGCATTTTTCTTTTTTTTTCATTTAAAATATTCAATGAGACTTTGCCCTGGACTAAGTTTTCCAAATGGCTACATTATTGAGAATTTTGACTCAAGCACAATGACTGAGTTATGGGAGAAAGTACAAGTGGATAGGGTTGGCCTCAGCATTGCCAAGTTATGGGGATGGTGATCTCCTTCCAGGGATGAGGTTCTGTGAGGTCTCTGAGTGAGTGGAAGGCAGGTGGCATTGCCAAGGCTCCCTCCCCAACTTCAGTCATCTTCCATGGGAGAAATAGGTGGTAAGGTACCTCCCATAGTAGGGTCCTCTGGCCCCAGTCAGTTTACCTGCCATGAAGGACTCATAAGGGTAAGAAGCTCAAAAAAACAAAACAAAACAAAAAAACCCCAAAACAACACAAAACAAAATAAAAGTAAAAGAGTAAAAAACTTAAAAAGCACAGTCAATCCCAGCCCAACACCAGGAGCTGGTCTGAAGAGTCTGGTTACCCACATCCAACTATTTCTCCAGTTAAGGCAGTTGTGCCTAACACGTTCTGTTTGCCTTCTCTAGAAGCCTTCAGCACTAAATGTGTTGGTATTTCCACCTGAGAAAGAATTTAATTGCGAAAATGAGTAGAATGGAGACCAAGAGGAAAAATACTGTTAGAAATAAAATTCCCACGGGGGTAATTCCACAGGACAGCTGGACATCAGACAGTTGAACTCCCTGTAGTGATGGGGGATTTGCGCACACAGTCTCCTCCAAGTCCTCAAGTTTTTGCAGGTTTTCTTTGTACCATGTTAAAAAGTGAATGTTTGAGCACGTGCAGTCCAGGGGATTGTGACTTAAATTAATAGTGCTCTGCTGGGACAGGATGGAGAGGAGATGGGGTGAGATAATGCCAATAGCATTAGCAGCCAAATTGAGGTAGATCCCCTTAAGATGGCTAAGAGCATCAATGCTATTTGATGTCAGATTATTGTGACTTAAGTCTACGTGACTCACTTTATCAAGGCTGTGGAAGGCCTGCTGGTCTATGGACAAGAGGTCACTGGAGGATAACACCAGAATCTCCAAGCTTCCCACTGTCTGAAGTAGGTTGTTCTTCGGGATACTCCCATCTTGAAAACGATTCCCCCGTAAGTTCAGATGCCGAAGGTCTGGCAGGCCTGCTAGAAGAAGCTGATTGCTGGTATCAAGGAAGCTATGAGAGAGATTCAGAATCTTCAAGTGATGAAGGTTTTGGAAAGGACTTTGTGGTGCACTCACATGTAAGTGGGTAAATGACAAATCCAAGATCTCTAGCTGAGGACATGCTTGGAATGCCTCCCTCTGAAAACCAATGAGCTCATTGTAGCTCAGGTTTAGACTTTGCAGTCGGGGAAGATTTTTGAGCTGCAGATTGCAGCAATCAGAAGCTTCTATGCCGCTGTGGCTTAAATCAAGTTTCTGAAGATTCTCTAGTTTTTCTAAGCAGCCAGTACCGAGGTGAAGCTTCTTCATGTTGCCTTTGACATAGAGGTGTGTAAGGGAGGGGAAATTGGCAGCATTGATTTGACACAATTGGTCAAATTTATTTACATTGAGAACTAATTTCTTGAGTGAGTTCATACCCTCAATCCCAGAGGGTAATTCTTGCAGGTGAGTGGCTGTTAGATCCAGATTCTGGAGTTGGGCAAAGCATCGAAACGTGGTGGAGGAGAAGTCAGAGAAATGATGCTTTTGCAGGTTGATGCTCTCAACAGATGTGTCACAAAGACCCTGAAATGTGGCTGAACTTAGATATTGGTTATCAATGTCCTCAAATGTCCCCAACCAGAGAGATTGAATAGTAGAGTTCCGTAGACCATTGAATATGACAGACAAGTCACGAGTCCCTCCAAAGTTCAAGCTTTGGAAGAATTGTGAACTGAAAGCCCCAGGCTCAATACCTTTAATGTCATTGCCATTGAAGTTAAGACTTAGGTTGGTGGCTTGCTTCAGAGAGTTCATATCTTCTCTAGAAAAGTAGTGTATAGCATTATTCTGAAAATCCAAGACTTTCAGATTCCCTGCTGGGAAATCATTTGGGAGCTTAATGGAAGAAATATGGTTGCTCCCCAGATGCAAACTTTCCAAGTTTTCCAGATTGTGAGGTGGGATAAACTCAAGACTGGATATTCCTGTTTGAATTAAGAACAAATGCTTCAGTGACTTGGGCCCGTTAAATGCTGTTTCTGCCATGAATATCAGAGGGTTTCCAGTTAATATCAGTGTGCTCAACTGATGATGGCTTTGGAAAGTGTCATCATGTATCCAGTTAATCTGGCACCTTGAAAAGATAATTGTATTTAACAATGATTAATTAGAAAAAAAAGGGAAAATGCTGTCACCACATTCCCAAAGCCATCTTTTGTATACCATAAAACACTATATGTTATCCAACACAAAAAACTTTCTTCCATACCCACAGATGGCCTGTCAAGATAATTAATGAATAGTCCTAGTACTGAGAGCTCTGATTTGGAATTTATTCCAGATGTCTGTCTTTCCTATTTAGATAGAACACTCAGAGGTTTATATTTGTATTCTAAGGAACAATTAGTGGTTTGATATTTTTTGTAGGCAAAACCAAACTGTGATTTATTATATTAAGTAATATAAAATATGCCATATGTAATGTATAATAGATAATACATGTATGTATTTATCCTTGGCATCCTTGGCAAGTTAAAGCCTATTTCGGGGGAAGAAAGAGTTGCTGGAGATTGAGCCTATGCCCTTACACATGTTAGGCATGTGCTACATGCTACACTCAGCCTYCCTCTTTCATCTATGAAATACAAAAATAATGACTATTTTGTAGAATTATTGTATGTCAAATGATGTATGTAAAAATGTTCCATTGAACTATAGAATGCTAGAAGTTAAGAGAAATCCATCCTGGTACTGCATCTTAAAGTACTGGATTAAACACACACACTTACGCACACACACACACTGATAGTTTCTGCATCTAACTGCAGAAATGGGTAGTAATATTAATTGGCACCCCACAGAGGTGATTGTAAAGATTAAACAGTGCTATTGGTGTGTGCTTTCTTCCACTTTGCAGAAACTCAAGTGGAAAGTCACAAGTGGAAGTCATTGAACTATTGCAGGGGGTGCAGAAGTCATGAACATGTGGGGCCCCTTCCCCCACTCCACACACACACACACAAGCTGCACATTCTTCTGTTTTCTTCCCTTACWTTCTTGTAATACTTTTGTCCACTGATTCTGCCACTAAAGCCAAATAATGGAACTCTTTTTTCAGTTAAAAAAAAAAAATTAGGAGGTATGTGTGTTTCTCATGACTTTTGTTACATGCAATTCACCTAATAATAGTCAACTGTGTTAAAATATAGTATAMTATGGTGTCTGATTCAGTGCAGAATTTATTTTCACTTTTTTTTAATATTCCTTAGAACTTCTTCAATGGTACTGCTGATGCAGCTAGTTTGAAAACAACTCACTTTCCTGTCCATTGATTGTTGTTTATTTTAAATTACATTTCACTTGCATTAAAGTATTTCAGATGAAGGAATAGATGAAAATACAGAATAAGCAGAGTGTCCCTGTGCCCCAAAAGAAGATCCTGGGGACAATTCAAATGCAAATTTTGTTTCTTCTTAAGTAAAACATCAAGAGTACACAGGAACTCAGATACATACCTGGTTAAATCCAAAAAAGTAAGATTTATGAGTCTGCTGAAAGTTGTATTTTGAATTGTAGGCAAGAAATTAAAGCTGAATTCCAAAAATTCTGTTGTGTTTGGTAGGGTGTCAGGAATTTCACTGAGACCTAAATTTTCACAGTTATATGTTTTGTTGGCTTCTTTCTGATGGGAGAAATAATGTAAATTAATATAGGATTTAGAGATTTGATTGACTATCTAGAAAAATTAGACACATTTTACCCTTTGAGCAGCAATCCCACTTTCAGTAATCCTTACCAAATATACTCTTGCAAAAACTCAACATGAGGGCCTGGGGTTGTGGCTCAGAGGTAGAATGCTTGCCTAGTGTGTGTGAGGTGCTGGGTTTGATTCTCAGCACTGCATAAAAATAAATAAATTAATTAAAGGTATTGTGTCCAAGTACAACTAAAAAAATATATAAAAAACATGATTTGTCCATGATAGTATTCATTATATATATATATATATATATATATGTATATATATATATATATATATATATATATATATATATATATATTTGTAATAGCAAAACCAGGCTATCTATCAATGTGGGAATAATTGACCAAAATATGATACATTCTCAAAATGGAAACCTCAGCAAGAATGAGAAAGATCTGCATATATTGGTAGGGAGTGAGATCCAGGACATGGTGTAAGGTGAAAAAAACAAAGCACCAAACAGTGTATGCAGTGTCTATAGCATAGAGTATGCTAGGTTTTCATAACAAGGATACTTGAGCTGGGCTCAATGGTGCACGCATGTAATTCCAGTGGCTTGGGAGGCTGAGGCAAGAGGATCCTGAGTTCAAAGCCATCCTCAGCTTCTTAGTGAGCCCCTAAAGCAACTTAACAAGACCCTATCTCTAAATAAGTGCTAGGAATGTGGCTCAGTGGGAAAGTGCCCCTGGGTTAAATCCCTGGTACCAAAAAAACAAATATTATCATATTTTTGAAAAGAAACTATGGTTAAAAAAATCCAGTGATCTTTAAGAGGACAGAAAGTACCAGATAGAGGAGTAAAAATATAAATAAGATTCCTCTGATTATACTTTGGTTAGTTTTGATTTGTAATAAATAGAAGTGTTTGTTTCATCTTGAAAATAAGCAATCAATATTAAATTGGCATCRGAAAAATAGGACAATGAGACATTATTCACTTTCTGACATAGTACAATATGAAGTACACAGAGCCACCTATGAAGTATTCTTGCCAAAAAGAAAGTAATTAACTTGAATTCAATGAAGACTTTAGGTCTACTTTTCACATCTACAAGTGATATGAGAGATTTAAGCTAATGGTAGCAGTTAATCAAATGCAAAAAGTGGCACATAATAAAAAACATCTTTGTTTATTAGTATGTGAAAGAGAGAGAAAGAAAGAGAAGGGAGACAGCTTTAAAAACAAACACAAAGTGGTACAAAAGCTACTTAAGAGTTAGAACCAACAAATAACAGACTAGGCTTTGTTTAGATTATGACTCAAGTAGAACAGTTAGAAAAAGACATTTTTAGATAATCAGAGACATTTAAATGAGATAGAATTTGATGGTGTTAAGAAATTATGAATTAGCATCTGCATATGAGAGAAAACATCCAGGCTTTTGTTTTTTGAGATTGGCTTTTTTCGCTTAGCATGATATTCTCCAACTCCATCCATTTACTGGCAAATGCCATAATTCCTCTCTTCTTTAAAGCTGAGTAATATTCCAATAAAAAAAKAAATTATGAATTTTGTTAATGTTAGAGGCTTTATGGTTATATTCAATCAATGTTCCCCTTTTTTTTTCTTTTGAGATGCATATTTAAGTATTCAGATTTAAAATGATGTGATGTTGGGAATTTGCTTTAAAATACCTGGCAAAAAAATGATAGGAGGAATGGACAGATAAAAATTAGTAAGTAAAACGGTGATGTTTGCTGGATGTGGAGTGATATTTAGGTGGAGGTTGCTTATCCAAAATTAAGAATCTTAGCCTAACGAGGTAAAAGTTGGAAACAGTTCTGATGGTGGAATCATAATTAATCTGGATGACACTTCATCATGAAGGGTAAGGGGGCTCCTAGGAAGGGGCATGTCTTTCCTGTGGAAGCTCCTAGGTAAGAAAGAAATGATCTCCAGGACAAATGCCCCTTGGAGGCCCCAAGAGATGGGTGCCAAGGACCATGAACCAGCTCTTAGATGTCTCAGGCCCCAGGTGACTTCATCCATCCTTCTTGTCCTTGCCCCTCCTGATCATACCTAGGCTTCCTAGAGGCTCCTCTGAGACTGCCCTGACTGCAAAAGATCTACCCCACCAAACTCCAGATCAGCTGCTCTCCAGATCAGTTGCAAAGAGACCTGCTTAGCTGGAAACAGAACTGAAAATGTTCTTCTTTTCCCTGAATCATGAGGCTCAGGATGTTGCCATTTTAATCTTTTTTTTTTTTTTTTTCTTTTCTCTAATTTCTGCTTAGTTGTGCGTTTTTTATAGCAACAGTGAGCATGTACATCTATAAGAAATCACTAGTTTCCTTCAATATTGTGACAATATTATAGTTGTCACTGATGAAAATGCCATATTTATATTTCCTTGTAATTCATTCTTCATTCTTATAGACCCAAAGTCCTCTAGGCACTGTTGCAAATCTATATAATGTCCTTGAAATGCACACTTTGCATTGGAAACTTGGATTTAACTGACTGGTGAGGAAAAAAAATATATTTTATTTTGCTATACTGTCCTTGGTGGCCAGACAACCCAGAAAGTATGTGTATGTGCAGCTGCAGTCCCTATAGTTGCCATGGTGCTGATCAGCATGAAGGAGACAATTATCTTTTCTGGTCTCCATTGGCATAACTGATTTCATATACGCTTGGAGAAAGGGGACTTCCCCCAATTCGTCTTGCTCTATTCTGACCCTACAGCAAAAGTCTCAATGCTGGCAATTCCTTCCTTCTACTGAATATGCAAGTACCCCGTGACACCTAAATTATTCCATGTCTCAGCCTCTTGTGTGCTTTAGTAAGTACTTTATTGAAATAATGTGATTCACAAAATCAAGAATCCAGGAGGACCCCTACTGAGCCAGTGGCCTGAGGGAACAACTAGGAAAAGGAAAAGTTAGTAAATGAAAAGATCTCTTTTACCTAGCAGAGAGCTAGGGCYCAAGGGTTACCAGCAGCCTGCCCAAAGCTTGTGCTTTGTAATCTCAAGTTAGGTAAAAATGACAATAAACTCTCTGCCCTTGATTGCCAGGAGAAAGAGGAAGTGACAAGAAATGCAGCTAAGAGAATTTAAAAACCAAACAGATTTTCAGAAATGTCTTGGATTCATTCAACACACAAGTGGCCCTCCCTTACAGTTTTTGTAATCACAATTATACTGTCAATATTGGTATGATGATGGGATACCAAAGCACCACACACTCCAGAATCATCCAAGAAGCATTTGATTATTTTTAGTAGACTGTATTTTTTAAGGTTGAAAGTGCATGTGTGTGTGTGCCCCTTGATTCTGAATAGGGGTGGGCATGGGACAGTTGTCATGAATACCAGGTAGCTTTATCATAGCTCTGCTGTTGCTGGAATAATGAGACTATTAGTCTCATTATTTTTGAATGGGAGTAAGATAGCATGAACTTTCACCCCTAAATATCTTATATGTCTTAAGGATATATAATCACAATGCTATTATCAAATTCAGAATATTTAATATTTAATGCTGATTCAATGTTACTACTAACATAGTCTGTATTCAAATTTTGCTACTTGTCTCAACATTGTCCTTTTTTTTTATTTACTTTTTTTTTAATTGATTGTTCCATACATTACAGAGCTCTTGATAAATCATCTTTCATACATTTGACTCCATTGGGTTTTGAACTCCCATTTCTACCCCAAATACAGATAGCAGAATCACATCTGTTACATACTCACATT